TATATATAACTCATAATTTCTCAAGGTAGAGAGTTTTCATCTACGGATAATTTTTTTTCTAGTGTTATAAAATCATCTTGTTGAAAAATATTTTTTTTTCTGCGTTATATAGGCCGAGCAGCGGAGACACCGGGAATGGGTGTGTCGTTTGGAACGTGAACGTCAATTGCAGCTGGAAAACTGTGCTATCAAGCTGCAAGCAGCAGAGCTGGACAGTTCCAGTTTGCGGGAGGAGATTACGAGAGTGCGTGAACAACTTGAGAGAATGAGGGCGGATAAAACGCGACTCGAAAACGACCTCCGAGAGATCAGGAGGGAAGCGGATGCCGCACGCGAAAGTGAACGTCATGCGATAAGCCGAGCTAACGAAGCTTATCATATGCTCGACGCCATGAGAGAGGAACTTTCGTTACGGAGCGAGGATCAGCAGAGGCTTGAGGACCTGGTGCAGCAGGTGGCTCAGCTTCAAGCTCGCAATAAAAGTATGTTTATCACCGTATCGCGGAACTATTAACTAAATGTTACGAATTTCTGGAAATCATTCATTTCTTAAATGTTGTGTATCTCTATAATTTAATTTTTATTAAAATATAGATATAATATAATACCATTAAAATCAAATATTATTTTAATTACAAAAATTATTTTCTAAAATGATAACTTTATTTTTATTCAGATTATTATTATAAATACTTAATAATATTAAGCTTGGCGTTTTACAGGTTTGGAAGAATCTCGGGATGAATTGCAAGCTGCTGCGGCGTTACAAGCAGGCCGTGAACTTTTAATGCTGAATCCTTGTAATAACAATGCTGAAAAAGGTCCTAGTCTCGCTATGGAATTGTTAGCTGGCATGAATCCAGACCAGGTATTTTTTAAAAATATACCCCAATTGTGTCTAATCAAGAACGAAAAAGCGATTTAATTCTAAATATATAATTATTTATTGATCATCGAAATAAAAGACATTTTGATTTTTGATTTTACAAATTTGTTTTCCATGAATTCAAATGTTGATGGTTTATTTTATTAAAAAATATTCCCATTTATATATAATAAATTTATATATAATATTTTATATATTATAGTAATTTTGTGTGTAAAAATTTTTGTTATATATTTTCTTATTTCTGTGACGTTATCAAATCAAATAGCTTTGATGAGTATTCAGAAGCTTTAATTGTTGCAATAATGAAATAATTCCTTAATAGGATTTTTCGTTAATGAATTCTTTTGTTTCTTTTTTAAAAAATGAATACTAGAAAAAATGCAACATCATATAAAAATAAAGATTGTAATACAGCCCGATGATATTCTCAGAAGTTTCAATCATTTCAACGAGTAACAGCGTAATGTAGCGTGTTCTTCACTGGAAAACACCCATTAAAATTGACTTTTTTTTTATCGCTTTACAGATTGATGGCCAAGGAGAATTCAACGAACCGTGCACAATGGCTGAAGTATGTATTAAAATTAATTTAGAATTTTATAATCATATCTCTGACATTTTCGAGATAATTTGATTAATTTTTATATGTTTCGTTACAGTTAAAACAAGCCCTAAAAGAACAACAAGAAGTAAATACGCAATTAAGAACATATATTGATGGGATATTGTTAAATATTGTGGAAAATTATCCACAATTGTTAGAAGTGAAACAAACGCACTGAAACATAGCCTATGAGCCATCATTAAATCCTGCTCCAATACTTTCGAGACATTTTATGTTAACTTTCTTCGTTGTCGAGAAAGATTGGGAACTGTTTAAGATTTGGTTGACATATATTTTTTATATTTCAATGTTTGAGGACATTTAAATTTTTAGTGCAAAAGCGCTTAAAGGAGAAAAATCAATTTTAAAGAAACTAAGTTTAAAGTGACAGTTCCCAAATACAAAATTCTAAAACGTCGAGAGGTCTTCATAGAAATAGTCTCAGCTTACATATTTTTTAAGTATCTTAGAGACTTCTATTATTCATGATCGAAATCCTTGCTCGACCGATTGAACTCTAAGTAGCAGTCATTAACATTTAGGAAAAAGTGATAAAAAGTGACGCTACTGCAGTCGCAACGATATAGAACGGAGAATACTCGGCTGGTGTGATTTCTGAGATGAGCTTCGTCACATCATTCGCAGATCTTCGAGCCGTTTTTTCCACTGCCGCCAGTTTTCATCGCGCCAATGTCATCACCGCCAGGATAGTGAGCGAATCTCGATTACGTTTCTCAGATTTTTTGCACGTTGCCAACTGACCTATGTACTTCAATTCACACACTAGATCGTTGAAGTGTTCATATACGATTGATACATGATTGATATCCAAAATGAATACATATATGTACGCGGGTATGTGTGCGTGTGTGTATGTGTATGTTATGCGACAACGGAGATGATGTGACTGCATTATGTGTCGCGAAAAACTGTGATGCATTAAAGTACCTTTTAAGTAAAAATTTGTCTTGGTGACACACGTTTACAATTCTATCGGCAAGAACCTTGTACTCTAGGGCCTTATATCGAAAGCTAGTAAAATTGCAATTAAATAATTATATTTTGATACTAGTCGTTTCACTTCTTTTCCCGTTCTTTGAATATTGATTCCGATTTGAGAAAGCTGTTTCAATTGAGACTTCGACTTTACCCCATCTCAATTGGAGTAAATCTCTTATCGGAATGTCGTCTGATAGTTTCAAAGATTTTGAAATCCAATTTTCGCTATTTTTAAAATGAGAAGCTTAGTCGTTCTTGTTCATCTTTACATTAAGAACGTGCGGGCAACGAATTCTTTGTCTCAACTAATTTCGTTGTTATGTGCTTAATGTAATTTGTCATGATGTAATTTGTTTCGTATTACCAAATTCGTAAAAATGCATGGCAGCTAAAATTACCTACGAATTTTATATGTAAAAGCATATTTTTCATTTCTTTTAACAGCTATCAAACCGTGTTTTCTACCTGAACAGGCTTCATTTCATATGCCTTTTACAGCTATTTGTGAACTATCAGGAAGGGAAAGGATAGCAGCCGTCCATTTTCACAAGTATCTTAAAGTCATCTCAAGTGTTGTTTTAATATCTCAAATATTATATTTCAAATATCTTTTTATTTGCAAATTAGTTGCAATAATCTAAACTTAATTAAACTTAAATATTATTATTATTATTATTATAAATAAATATATTATTATACATTAAAATTAAATATCGTATCTAGAGTTATATTATATCTAGAGCTTTTCCATTGTATAACCGCTGTGAGTGGCTGTGGACAATAAGCAACCATTGATCGAGCACCATTCATCGAAAAGAACCAAGAGTTTTGGAATACTAGAGAGGCTGTCGATGGCGTCTGGCGGAACTGGATTGAAATCTATATTTTAGTCAATTATACATGATTTTTAAATATTTAATTAAAATTATCTGGACTTTTATACGTTTTTAACATGACACTTCATAACTCTTTATGCGAAATACAAACGATTCTATCTATATAAAATCACTGTTTTATTTATTTTCGACTAATTATTCCGGCCAAATACATGGTGAAAAAATAAATAATTACAATTAAAATGAATGACTCATAAATCTTTTTGAACGCCCCCTAGGAAACAGCGGGAGTAATGAATGAATAGGATAGAATAGCAAGAAAATTAAATAATAGCGAATTCGATTCTGAAATGCGCCAGATTAGTATATAGTAAATGCTGATATACATGAAATTATTGAAATATAAAAATACGTAAACACTTTAACATGATGATATAAATAGTCAACAATGAATTTGTCGTATTATTTGGGACTGAATACGAATTAATAATTTCATTATCAACGAACATTATGCTACTATATTTAGATATTCTATAGTGTAATTCCATGTGTAATCTTTAATGTGCATTAACCCGGCGTAGTACAGCGACTTGAATTCGCTGTAAGTTTGAAAACTTGGCTGAAGATATTTATAAGATATTTGAATGATATTTGAAGATCTCGACCGATTTTAGTCGTGATCAAGCATCAAAAACGGGGACAGGAGGGATAAGCTTTAAATATTACAAAAAAAGTATAGTTAAAAGAGGCTGGTTTATGAGGAGAGGTCGTGTGTCGTATAACGTCAAAATTAATTGCTTCGGATTCGTGATTTACGTTATAGATAGCAAGATCAACTTTGCTACAGCGGCATTTTCAATGGAGCGCGTTAAATAGAGATCACAGAGATAATTTTTTGGATGCTTATCTGCTTATCAGCCTAGCTCGACATTGAACTGAACTTTGTATTTGGAGTGCAAATAAATATCTCGGTGAGATATCGGAATATACCGGAATATCAGTAATGTCAGTGAGAAGGATATTCGATGACTTGTGATTAAAGATAAATGGGAACATCACGGCGACATTGATTCTGATTAGTCCTGTTGACATCTGTCTTCTATACAGAGGATTCAGTGAGAAGACAGCTAGGTTGAAAGAAGAAAAATTTATCTTGTGATATTATCTTGTAATTTTAAACAATGAGAACTGGTAAATTAAATAAAACAAGATATATATAGAACAAGTATTACTTGATAAAATGGATTCCTATTAAATTTATATGTTTCTGCAGAGAAGAGGAAATCCAAAAATTTATCAAGCATGCCTGCAAAATCTAAAGACACAGAGGTTCTGTGGTCAGATATAGCTGGTCGAATTTTAATAAATGCAATCTCTTATCCTATTGAATATGTGAAGGTTTTGATACAGGTGAAAACATATTTATTAATTAATAAAAACCTCACATAAAATAATATAGTTGTCAAAATAAAATGACACAAAAAAAGACCAGTACATTTTGATTTTATTATAGATTGGATATGAACCTATTCCACCCAAACCAACTGTGACATTGTTTGGCAAACCAGCGTTAAAACTACCTAATGCCTTTACTTATAGTAAGTATTCTAATTTGATTTAAAAATTAAGAAATATTTCTATTACTTTTACTTCTATTATACTTCTATACAAAAGAAAATTTTGATTTATATTGTATATAATATAGTTATTAATATTATATCATGTTAATTTGGAATATCTTACATGTAAATTATAGAAGATTATTTTATAATCATTGCTCCTTATTTGGAGGTTATACATTTGATAATAATCACGAGAATTCACAGATATGGAATGGATAAATATATGCATGATAATATGCATGGGATATGATATTCTATAAGAAAATCTAAATAAAAAATCTAAGAAGACTCAATTTTATCTAAAATAAAATATGAAATGTATATAAAGAATGTATGTATTTAATATGTAATTTTAATGCTTAATTTTACTTGTTAATTGCTTTCCAAAATTTGGTTATTTTGGTTTGCTTTGCACGTTGCAATTTTTTTAAAATAATTCATATAAATATCCATTCTTTTTTCCTACTAAAATAAAGTTTGCATTTTTAAGGCTGCAATGATAAAAAAATTATATGTATATTGTGATATATGTATATATGTGTATCATTGTATTGTTGACATGTTATTCTAAACATGTTATTTGCAATAAATATCATCATATGCCTCTGTAGTCGAAAGGAGCCTGCCTGGCAAATAGAAGATTCAGATTTGATTCCTGACTGAGGTGGTATTTTTTCACAAAATAATTATGAGTTTTCACGGCTGGTTCGTGGTCGGGCCCTGCCGTGAAAACTCATAATGCACACCCTCCCATTCTATTCTTTAAAAAAATAATCATTTGCATTTGGGATGATTTAAATCTTTGAATACTGAAATATTTATTTATAAATAAAAAATATCGTCATAGACATATTAATTGCAAATCCATGAACAAGTTTACGAATAAAGAGTGTCGACTACTTTTTTTCAAATTATATTCTTTTATTATATTATGTTATATTATATTTTTGCAGTTAAACACATAAAAAATGTGGATGGCTTCACAGGATGCTACAGAGGCCTGGTGCCTAAAGTGTGTTCTTATACAGTTAGCACAATAGCATGTGACAAAACTATGGAATATCTACAGATGAACTCAGTACAGCAAAACGAGAATGAAGACGATGAAGATGAAACCATGAAGTATATATTGTTGCGTTCTTTTAAATTGGAATTTTAATTTTAAAGATTGGCTATATCAATCATATAGAAAAAAATTACAAAAAATAAGATCGAATATTATGTCAACGAGTCGTCAAATTACAAACAGTTTTAAATAGTAAATAATTTGCAGATGATTTAGGTATGGTCTTAGTTAATTAGATAAAAATTAATCATTATTTTCACATCACGAAGATTGGAAAAAATTGACAAATCTTAAGAGGCAAATCGTCATTTCCTCTAACAGTATAAAGAGAGAAAAAAAAGGTAATGATATATAATTTGTCATGTTTACAGACGTAAGAGGTGTATAAATGAAATCATCAAGGATGTAATCAGTAGAACAGTTGCAATCATAGTCAGTCATCCTCTAGAAGTTATTTCATTAAGAATGATGGCACAATTTGTGGGTAGAGAGACAAAATATAGGTATCATAAATCTACATGTACATGTTTTAAAACATCCAGAGGAAGAAAGTTCAATTTTTTTTATTTAAAGTATATATATATATATATATAAAATTTAGAAAAAAATAATATTTGGAAAAATTCAAACATCTTTTTAATAATTTAATGCCAATAGAATGGTCTTAATTTGATCTTATAAAAAAAGTCAAAATTTATATATAATTTTATTCATCTTCTAATTTTGAAGAGAATCAACATTTTGAATGTAATTTTGAATATAGTTTTTTTGGAAACATTTGTTACATCTATATTCTTCTCTGTGTGATTTATTTGTCGCTATAATATTTATTTATTATATTCTCACAATATATTGTGTTATTAGTAGTCTATTTGGGTCATTCCTGGAGATCTATAAGGAAAATGGAATCCTAGGATATTATTCAGGATTGATACCACGCGTTATAGGAAGCGCTGCAGTTATCGTTCTAACTGGTGTTTCCACATATGCCATAAATAATTACATCATTCAAGAGCCGGCAATGAAACCATATACAGCATCCACTGTGAAAGTAAATATAAGTCCAATATATTTCAAAGAGAAATATTGATACTGAATGTGATTCTGACATATATTTATACAACATATTTTACATAAAATTGATGTAAAATATGTCAATTTTATATATTTGTGTATAAATATATATTTTTGGGCATGTATTCTTTAAAACAGAATATTTATAAAGTTTGTAGCTACTACCGTTATGTACCCGTTCTTAGTAGTGTCGCACTGCATGGTGGTAAATAACTGTGGGTAAGTAAAAAAAATTGTACATCCATTATTTTTACTGAAAACTGATTGAATTTTTCTTTTCTTTTTTCCTTTTTTTTGTAAAATCATTGTAAAATTGATTTCATTAAAAATATAATGGATATTGTGAAACTTAAAAGTATCAGGAATAAAATATATGGAGTTTCATATTTTAAAACATTAAAAATGCAAAATCAATTGAGCTTAATTAAAGTAAAAATAACTGTAATGTTTCGCAAAACAATTTATTCATGAAAATCGTTCAAGGTTAGTAGCTGGTCTCCCACCATACATGCCGATTTATAGAAACTGGCTGCACTGTTGGTCTCATTTATCTGCTCACAATCAGCTTAAAAGAGGCAGCAGCTTGTTATGGCGTTATTACACCGGGCCACAAATGTTGTTGAATGGCAAATTGATATCGACTATGGGTGACAATTTTTACCAGCCCAGTCCTTAATGAACGTCTTAAAGTAAGTCAAACGAATCTGTTATAAACCAAATAAGTTGTCAATCAATAATCATGTCCATTTGACGTTTTATTTATACAGTATATATGAAAGACAGAAGGACAGAGAAATTTTGGTTGCAACGAATTTCTATATGAAGATCACCTGCTGAATATTCTTGTAAAAGATTAACTCGTTGTAAAAATGAAAAAAAGGCAAAATAATTACAATCAATCGAGGCAATTAAAAGTAAACTATAAATAAGTGTCACCGCAATCTTTTCTAACGAGAAAATCAACAATCATTAAATGTATCATTTTCAATACACATTTATAATGACCACGAAGTTAGTAGTTATTTCTTAATTGTTTTCTAGTGTGACTATCACTCTGATTTTTTTTTATAAGTGAAATGTCGTATCTATGATCACTTTAATCGATTCTATATTTTCAAATCAAGTCTGTAATAATACTTGTAAATAAAACTGGATATATAAATTGGAACAAACATTGTATAGCTGCAATAAAAAGTGATGTTAAAAGAAATAAGATGTATCTTTACTATATTGACAGTTAGACTTTATTGTTTCGACAATTAATCGACTTACATTGTGGCCCACCTTTCACCTTTGTCGATTAAGATTTCGATGAGTATTGCATTCGTCAGATCATAAACATCATCTTATGTTTATCTCCAGATTCGATTTCTGGCTGAGGTGATATTTTTCGCAAAAATAATAATTGCGAATTTTGACGACTGGTTCGTGGTCGGGCCCCGTCGTGATGACTGATGCACATCCTCCCTTCGTGTGTATATGCGCGCACACATGTGTATATATGTACACATACATACATACATACATACATACACACACACACCCACGCACACAAGGTGATGTTTATTACATATAGATAAATTGTGTTCTATAAGGAAAGCTAGAGAAAAATTACGCGCAAGAAAATACCTAAAAGCTACATCTCCCGTGTTATCTAATATACGTATAAAAAAAATATCAACTCGCACTAATAGTCTTAAGAATGTTTGTACACACTTGTTTTTCTTCAGGCATTTGGACTATATAGCTCGCTCCTATATAAAAGTGGCCAATCGAATGTGAATAATGAACAGAGAATATATACAATGCGTCTCGCAATATCATACACATTATATCAATTTTTAATGTTTCGATACTTGATGATCGTCTGAAATTTGTGAAATTGTACAATAGCCTAAACTAAAAATTACATGAATTTTTTTGTACAAAAATGTAATTGAAATTTCGCCAATGAGAATCTAAATCAGATTCAGATTTGCGAAAAAGATTTAGCGTTAAGAAATAAAAAATAGTTTTTGAACATGTTATATTTATAATTGATGCGCGTTTAAATTATTTCTTATTAAATCTAATGAAACGAAGACTCGAGATTACTCCTAGATTTGAATAAAGGAGTATGATGTTCATACTTCTGATCTAAAAAGTAATCTCTTACAAAAGTAATACTCTTTTTATATCGATTATTTTATCATATTTTATATATTTGAAGAATTTATCGTCTCATTCATTATTAAATGCAATAACAATTGGTCATTGTCCATGGAAAAATCGCTCTTAAGAATTAAATTGTATTTTAATATGCTTGAAACAAATAAGATCGTTGCACATTATAGGGATTATCAGGCATTCATTGACAAAATACGTTAGATTCAAATATTCTACCAACTACATTTCAACTTCCGACATAAATACATTGTCAATATTGAAAATATATAACTCATGTATATTAATTTCCCTGGCGGAAAAAAATTTCTACAACTTTTTAAATAATAACTTCACCGAACTAATTAGCATAGTATAAAATACACGAAAATCAGATGCAGCACGAAAAGAAGTTTTAAAGCCAAATTACGCTAAAATTATAACTTTATGAAAAAATGTGCAGTTTCGGATGCTTTCTTCATTTGTTTTTGATAAGCATACTATGACGTAGAAATCAGTTTTGTTTTTACGTGTAGTTACGGCAAACTTGTAGTTACATGTAATTTCTATCAGTTTTTGTATATTTATTTATGACTTATAGATATAAATCTACACAATAATTTTCACTTATTCGAGCTCACTGTATCATGGTCATTGAATGATAAATATTATATTAATGAAATACCGAGAGAATGTTTTAGCGATTAACATCGATCATATTTTCTTCCTAATTTTGTTAATAATTGTAATATTTATTTTATAAATCTTTGTAATACAAATAAAATTAATGTATATTATAAAAAATTATGCTTTTTATTTCGCGAATTGTTTTCGAATTAACAAACTGATTTAATACATTTTCCATTTTAATATGACATATTTCATAAATAATTACAACAATATTTTATCAACGTTTTTATTTATTGTTTCGCCAAGCATAAATAAATAAAGTCTAAATTTGGATAATCCTTGTTGTAAACATATTATGAAAAGTTGTAGAAATTTTTTACGCAAAACTACATCTTATTACATTTATAAATTTTGTAATATTTTATAATATTTTCTATAAGGTTGTAAAAATGCGTGAATCAGTAATAATCAGGTGTCATCATGTAATTCAATCATGTAGTTATTTATAGATTTTTTTTGCTAGGAATAGACCTTCAGTGCTAACAGTATATATACATATCAAAACACAATCTAGAACTTCAGCTTAGTGAAATAATTAATAAACGAATCGTTCGGTTTTTATATCGAGATCTATAACTATATGCTAAACATTATCTGCATTGACAGAATCTTATCAGATTAATCACTTATCGAGCAGGATATAACAATTTCTAGTTGTGTGAAGTATACTTTTATGAAGTCTTATTTAATATATCTTCATGTAATGATCAAGTTTGATTTTCTTAAGCAGGTTATATGAACGCGTTGCAACACCGATCAGCGCTATATCTAACAATTCGTTTAACAATTCTCTTACTAATTCTTTATTAAACATATAACTTGTATCATAATCTGGCAAGATATTGCATTACGTTTTATCTCAAAGCTGGCCTCTAGTTCGTAAAATACAATAAAAAAATCATATTTAAATAAATCTGAAAAGAATTTTAGTGTTGCGAACTCCTTTCAGAATTCCCTTTTTCGCTGAACTGAATAAAAAAATATAACAAATTTTTGCTGTCGTTGTTACAACTGTTCTTAATCGCAACAGAAATGATCGGAGAGGAACTTATGATAAAATATTTTTATCCTATTTTTATCCTATAATTTCGTTTTCACGTAACATGATAAAGATCCGGACGATCAACATTTAATAGTTATTTTTAACATCGCTTCTTATGCTATTACTATTAGATATAACAATCGATTGTTAATCAAGTCCATGTTTATATATTATATGAGAGATTAATTTTTTAGGCTCTCTATCTATAATGCTATCTATAATGCTATATACATCGAGGAATATTATGCGCGTTTCAGGAATGTTGACGAAATCGAAAACAAGGGATATACATCCCATGTGTAGCAATAGCTTCAAATCAAATAATATAAATACTATTAGTGCAGCATAGAAACCGTTCAATATTCACATTCTGCGACAAAGAGCTCGAATTTGGCTACATTCAATAAGTTTTGTTTCAGTAAGTTTCGTTTTTTTTGACATCTTATTTTGTTTCTTCCATTTCGTTTTTTTAAATATTATGTATATGTACAATATCTTTCTTACAACTCGTACAAATTACAACAAAAAAAAAGGTCAACTTAAAGTAAAGATACCAGTACTAAGAGGCAGCGTAATGCTTGATACATATATTAGTATGAGTGATTTTTTCCTCTTAAGGACAGACAGATATAATTGGCTCGTGAGCGCATAAATAAACAACAGATCATACATTATTTTTCTATATGCTATAGTAAATTCGTTTATCAGTTTATAGTTGCCTATAAGATAAATTGTCTCATTGACAAAATTCTGTTAAGGTTAACGCTAATAAAACTGAACGGTGTCATTCTGATCAGCAATATTAGCGAAACACATTGGGTTCAAAGACAAATCTATTTTCTTACGTTACTACATTATAAAATTCGGTTAGAGCATAATGAGATTTTTTATATTTTTATCAATTACACATCGGCGCTGGAACTCAATTCTTAATAGTAGTTATATAAAAAAATGAATTTGTCTTTAGATATATCTTTGTTTTATATACAGCAAGATTTTTCATGTCTTAATTCTTAATAATGATATACTGTAGCATTCAGTTTCAATATCATTCAAATGTTTTTTTTTATAGGAACCAAAAATAAATAATTGCAAGTAAAACTATATGACAAATACGAGAGAACGATGGGCATAGTATGAATCTGTAAATGTACTATTTCTTGTCAATAGAAGAAATGTCAACAAATGATTGGAATGCAATAGAATTCAAAGTAAATTCCAAGTACATAATCCACTTGCTTCTTCATATGTTCAAATTTGATATTAAGATAAGGATAAACACATCATAATTGTAATACTACATTGTGATATTAATTTAAAAAATACAAAAATATGCAGTTGTGTACGAATTATTAATAACAAATTTTTTTTATACTTATTATTATTAAATTAGTTTATTATCAAATTGTATAATTACATTTGCAACATGTCAGTTTAAGAGATCTAATTTTTGTTTCACAATTCTAAAAGTTCTTAAAATTACATTTATTATAAAATCTTAACTCAGATTGATATAATTTGTGTATATATATATATATATATATATATATACACACACACACACACACATACACATGATAGAGTATTTCAGACAGAATGTTACAAAATAAAACACAAAAATACAAACATTTTTTATTAAAAAAAAAGTATATAATTAGACATTTACGAAGCTACAAAGATTTTCTTATTGCACATTTAATTATTTTTGCTTAATTGACCAGTTAAGGAAATAAGTATATAATAGGATACATATTATATCCTATTGTTTTGCTTACAAAATTTCATCTAAAATTATTGTCTTGCATATACAAGAAGAGACAAAGAAAATATCCGTACTCTTCTTGTTCTTCTATATCATTTGTTGACATCGGTTCAACGATACCATACTCCGTTTACTGTGTCTACATAAAGACATGTTATGCAATATAATATTTATGAAACGTAAATTAAGCCAAAATGCAACGACAATCTTTCGTTTCTTTTAATCTTTGTAAATTGAAGCGTTATAAATTCTGTTTTGCTTAACATTTTTTTAAATTGAAACACTTAGATCTTTAATCTTTTTGAAAGTTAGGATTTCCAATCCTTTCATAAGTTGGAATGTAATTAATTATTGATCTTTCTATAGATTCTCTAAAATTGAAATACAATTGATTCTTACAATTTTTCTTTTAAATTGAAATTTATAAGAACGGATATCAAAGATTATATCGTAGTTCACAAGTATATTTAAGATTACGTTCTAGAAACAGTACATTTTGTGTTAATTTTTCTCTCATTTCTAAATCTTAATTCATCAATTGACGCTTTCTATAAAGAGAGATTTCTCGAGATTTAACACGTCAACTTTCGTATTTGTCATTATTTTTTCTGTCACATACGCGCGATTTGTTGCAGGATATACAAAATATGCCAGATATATACCAGAAGTCGCGCATTGTTCTTAAAAATGAGAGTCATACTCAAAGATTTAGCAGATATCTCATTTTTAATATTAAATCTTCGACATATATTTGGCATAAGAGACTTAGATCAGCTATTTTACTTTCAAGAGAGGCAAACGAAGGTATATTAAATGCTTGAATCAGAATATTAAAAATACTCATTATACTTGATAATACTGACATTGAATATTTAATCAAAAAAGAAAAAAGAATAAATATTTTAGAATAGATATCTAATATCATGTATATTGCCCTTTTAGTGCGACTTCTAGAACGCTCAAACTATCGTATGCACATTACAGTCATTCGCAACTTCATATCCACACTGATCAGCTCCGATCAACTCACTTTATTTCAAGTCCAATTCCACTTCTGGGCTTTCCAGCGTGAACGGCTTTAGGTTCTCAACGATGGGCGTCTGATCCGGATCGACACGAATACGGATCTTGTTAGTGTCCAGAGAGCGCGGCAGTGTGCGCGGTAGATCGTCCTTGTAGGAAGCCACCGCTGACATGGGCGACGTGTATGGTACATAAATTCGCACCACGTCCGGGCTAGGTTGATGCGGCGTCGCCCGCGGCGTCGGCAATCCGCCGCTGCCTGAGCTCGCGTTTGAAATATTGCTTTGAGTGTCTAGGCTGTTGTCCAGAGCCTGAGAACGCGTTGCCGAGCTGAACACCGACAGGTCAGCTGTCGATGTCACCGATGTTTCAGCCAATGACCGGCGAGAGCCGTTAGGAGACGCACCTTCATCGAGACTTGGATCGAAAGAAAATTTACTTCCTGCAAACACAAAGTCTTCGTTAGAGATGCAAGATTGAAAAAAATTGAACACCAAATATTTAAATAGAGAAATATTAATAGACAATAAGATATTAATTTATTAATGCAATTATTAATAGGCAAATATTAAATTTTCCAATGATTTAGTTGACTTAATGATTAAAGTAAGGTAGCATTAACAGATGCAAAGTACTAATGATGAAAATTATTATTGAAGATATTATTGAAAATTGAATAATGCATCATAATAAATTTAATGATTGTTCAATAAGGTTTTTATTTTTTCATATTTAATAATTGTAAAATTGACTTAATAATGAAATCGAACAGAATGGATATCAATTGTGTTGAAGAAATGATTCTAGTAATGTAGGATTTCTTGAGTCACATGCATGGATAGAGTATGTTGTGTTATAAATCATGTAAGACTTGGCTTTGTTAATTTAGATACATTTATTAAATATAAACATATATGAAAAAAGAAAAGAATGCTCATAAAAGATTTATCAACAAATCTTCCGAATGAAGCACATCTCTGAAGTGCATTTATGTGTGAAACATTATTTATCTAGTATTAATATTTTTGTTTACTACTTTAATTAATATAGATCTCTCTTCCTGATTCACAGTATCGCATATTCCAAAATATAATCGCAGATTAACATTATTATTTTATGATACTTAATATCATAAAAAATATCCTACTTCCGTTACCCATTTCTATACAAAACTGTCATATGTAAATCATTTTGTACGACTATGTACCATCTTACAAAATATATTTTTTATATTTTATCGTGACAAAAGCCTCCTAAAAAGGACTTTCTACAAATTATATTCGAGAGATTTCATAAGATCTCATTAAGATCGTTCGCGGCACGGTATTCGTCGCGACGAAATACGGTATCTCCGCTTACAGCCTAGTGTTGTAGAGAACTGTTATCCGAACGCTTGCATCAGTATCATTCTCCTCCTTGGACTCGCTGCCACGTTCAATGCGCGAGGTACTGTCTGTACTATTATCGTGTAACGTATCATGATTATCTCTAAACTCACCGCCAAGGCCACTGGTCGGTTCGACAGGCGTAGTACTCTCCCTGTCGTCGTCGATCAGTGCCATGTCCCTACGTTGTGCCACGGATTCTCGCATTACATGTTGAGCTTCGCTAAATTCCTCGCTTCGCCTTCCAACCTAGACGAATATAGGGAATAAATCATCACAATACAATTAAATCATTGAAAGAATTCACAGCTTAATGAATATTCAATCCTGATGTATAATGTATTATTTTTTCCCACGTACTTTGTCATAAAATTTATTGTATCAAAAAGATTGTCTATTAAAATATTAACAATATATTGATATTATTATTATAATAATATCGATAGTATTGTGGTATCTGTGTTTTGATATATTTTTTGCTAAATTTTTCTGTAAAAGTAAAACAGGATAAATAATTACTGAGCTGATGTGGCTTTTAATGAAATTCCGCGTTATCTTACTTTGAAAGAGATAACATTTAATTTACATGAGTATATGTTCAAATAAATTTTGTCTACATAGGATTGTTTAGATTGTTTAGGATTTTGTTTAGGA